ACTTAAGGTGGGCTCATCTTGAAGGTTTTATTCCCAAAGCAAGTTCCTGTACTAAGAAACAAATTGACAGTGTAGCAGAACCCTATAGTTGAACCTCCTTAAGTTGACCTAAAGTTTTTTTTGTTTTGTTTTGTTTTTCTTTTTGAGACAGACCCTCAAACTGTCATCCTGGGTAGAGTGCTGTGGCATCACAGCTCACAGCAACCTCTAACTCCTGGGCTTAAGCAATTCTCTTGCCTCAGCCTCCCAAGTAGCTGGAACTACAAGCACCTGCCACAGTGCCTGGCTATGTTTTGGTTGTAGTTGAAGTTGACCTAATTTTTATAAAGCAGACATGCACCACCTATGCTCAGTGGAAGCTCCTTATGTTGACTACCTCTGTATGTTGACCAGTTTGTTATAGTCCTTGAACGGCCAACTTACAGAGGTTCTAGTATATTTGCTTGTTAATCTCTCTGCAGCAATGGACAATAACAGGTAAATTTGTGATATTTGAGAGGTTGTTTGCTTCTTTCTTTGTCTGTAACATTTCTAGAAAAGTTATTTTATTCTTTTCTTTTTTCTTTCTTTTTTTTTTTTTTTTGGAGACAAAGTCTCATTCTTGCCCTCGGTAGAGTGCTGTAGCATCACAGCTCACAGCAACTTCAAATTCTTAGGCTTAAGCAATTCTCTTGCCTCCGCCTCCTAAGCAGCTGGCACTACAGGCACTGCCACAACACCTGGCTATTTTTTGTTGCATTTGTCATTGTTGTTTAGCAGGTCCGGGCCAGGTTTAAACCCATGAGCCTTGGTGTATGTGGCTGGCGCCGTCACCACTGTGCTAGGGGTGCCAAGCCACTTTTATTCTTTTCTTTGAGACTTATAGCAGAAAACTGAGCACAGCCCTTAAGCATCTGATTCCTAAACCCTATTCTCCCCTCCTCCTTGCAAGATTACAAGGCCACCATTTTCTTTTTTCTTTTCTTTCTTTCTCTTTTTTGGAGTGGGTAAGGGGACAGAGTCTTACTGTTTCACTCTATTACCCCTGGTAGGGTATAGTGTTGTCATCATAAGCTCACCACAACCTCAAACTCCTGGGCTCAAGCCGTCTTCATGCCTCAGCCTCCCAAGTAGCAAGGACAATAGGCACATGCCATGATGCCCAGCTGATTTTTCTATTTTCAGTTAGATCCTTGCTCAGAACGGTACAAAGCCATTTTCTAACTGCCCCCCCCCCACCCGGCACCATTCCCTGCAGTTATAAAACATTGTGTTTTTAGAGGAGACTTGATTATAAGGACCATATATAGCTGCAAGAAACAAGCAAGAAACTGAGGCTCCCCTCATCCCACCCATTGCAATTAACACTCATCCCTCCTTAATTCTGAGAGTACCCTACTCATACCATCTGACCTGAGAAGGAAAATTAAACAGATTAAGTGAGCCCAGCCACAGCCACATTGTCCTTTTAGAGTTAAAAGTTAAATGCCATGTTGTATTTAACCATACAGCCATACGCAAGACAGAAACCGTTGGTTATCTTCTGGAGAGGTGTAAACTTCTTTGAGAAAGAATAAAGGCACCACATCCCACCCCCTGATTTAAAGGAAAAGTGTTGATTAGGTGCAAAGGAAAAAGAATAGTGTTGCCATCTTCATAGATGGTCAGCCAGAGAGGTTGATCAGAGATTAGTAGCAATGGATTTGTTCAGAGCTCCTGCCAACAATGTAATATAAGGAAGAGATGATCCAGAGGTCAAGCAGCCGTGTTCTAGATGACTAGGATAGAAATTCATTAGCCTCATTGGGCTCTTTTTTATTTAAGATATAAGGAGCCCTGGCTAGTTCTTTCTGTTTGTTTGTTTTCAAGACAGAGTCTCATTTTGTCGCCCTTGATAGAGTGCTGTGCTGTCATAGCTCACAGCAACCTCAAACTCTTGGGCTCAAGTGTTCCTCTTGTCTCAGCCTCCCAAGTAGCTGGGACTACAGGCACCCGCCACAACACCCAGCTTATTTTAGACAGGGTCTTGCTCTTGCTCAGGCTGGTCTTGAACCTGTGAGCTCAGGGCAATCCACCCACTTTGGCCTCCCAGAGTGCTAGGATTACAAGCATGATCCACTGAGCCCAGCTGTTTTTAGAGACCAAGTCTTGCTCTTGCTCATGCTGGTCTCAAACTCCTGAGCTCAAGCAATCCACCTGCCTCGGCCTCCCAGAATGCTAGGATTATAGGCATCTGGCTAATTCTTATATTTGTAGTTGAGGCCTACAGGAGGGCAAAGGAACTTCTTTTTTCCAACAGCCATAGGTCAAGCAGTTTTGTGCCTCAAACCTGAGCCAATTCCATGTGTATGAAAGCCCATTTAACCTTGGAACTATAGCAAGGCCTTTCTGGAAGAGTGCCATTAGCTGCCTAGGCACATTTCTCAGCACCATAACACCTGGAATATTACTCATAACAGGATTCTTCTCTGCGTATTTCAGAATATTGAGCACACGTTGCTGTCTTTGCCTTTCTAGAAGCTTTTCAGGTACAGACCTTTCAGACAGGTACCCAAGGAAGCTCGATTCTTTCTTCTCTTTCATGTCCCCCTCTCTCTTATCTGGATAATCATAAAAATAAATATTGTACCATCCTAAATTTATTTTATGAGTATTACTTTCTAAAATCGTACTGTAGGGGCAGGTAAAGGCAGATAAAGTTCATATTTTATAGGCTAAAACCTGGGGGGAGTGGCTTGGCACCCATGCTCCATGGTTAGGGCACCCGCCACATACACCAGGGCTGGTAGGTTTGAACCCGGCCCAAGCCTGCTCAAAACAATGACAATTACAGCAAAAAAAATAGCCAGGCGCTGTGGCAGGCGCCTACAGTCCCAGCTACTTGGGAGGCTGAGGCAAGAGAATTGCTTAAGCCCAAGAGTTTGAGGTTGCTGTGAGCTAGGACACTATGGCACTCTACTGAGTGCGACATAGTGAGACTCTGTCCCTCCCAAAAAACTCTAAAACCTGGGGGGAGCTAGAAGGGAAATAAACTCCAGATTATAGATTCTTACTTTTATGTCCCTTTCACAGGCCCTAATGATGTTTTTTGAAGCCTCAGATGCAGGTTTCTGATAACAATTAACAGCAGTTAGCATTTTTGAACTTCTATCCTGCCATGTACTTTATATACATCATCTCTTTCAACCTCCCAAATTATTTGAATACATGTGTTCTTTCTAAGCTGAGGTCTAGAGAGGTCATTATTATTAGGACTAAGACCCTGGTCTTTCATTCTTCCACTGGCCTAGGCCTATCTTTGACCTATGTGCTTCTGAAACACCTTGTAAGTCAATGGCCACAGAGCCTATGAGGCCATCTTTTTTTTTTTTTTTTTGGCCAGGGCTGGGTTTGAACCTGCCACCTCTGGCATATGGCGGCTGGCGCCCTACCCTTTTGAGCCACAGGCACTGCCCTCAGAGGCCATCTTTTTACCTTCAGCCTGAACTCTAGACACAGCTAACCCTCAGAAAATATTACCTTGGAAAGATACACACTATTGAAAGGAGAATCTTTTGTTGTTGTTGTTTTGTCTTTCTTTTTTTTTCTTTCTTTGTTTTGAGAATATTTCTCTTTGAGAAAGGAAACTGACCTATTTAATGGTGACATTTATATGAGCAAGAAAGAAATCGTGTACCTGAGTATTCAAGATTCCCTTCTACCCTGTTCTTTCCATCTTAATGCACCTTTTAGGTTTCCTTAACAATAGCAGTTTTAACATTGCTTTTAATTAGATGAATTAAGAATGTTCTCTGATGTTATCACCCCTCCCACCCTCTTTCAGCTTTCCCTTTTGCTGTGAGAGCATTGTAATTTCTGTGGTAACAGGACTACCAGCCAAGGTTGACTCTCACTTGTTGGTCTGGTCAGAGGAAAGTTTTGGGCAGTCCTTCCTGGTGTGGTGGGCTCTCTGGGCCTTTCCAGGGAGTTAACTTAAAAGTAACAAAATTTAATGTACTAAAAAGCTCTAAGGAGAGTACATCAAGTATATCCCTTAATATTTCTTTTCTGTTTTTTTTTTTTTTTTGGTGCTTTTATAACTTTATTTGATATGTCTGAAAATAACCAGTTAGTTCTCATCCACATTGACTGTAGATATTTGAAAGTGGTAACAGGTACATAGGTAACCAAAGTACAGAACTTGTTTAATGAATCTCCATCTTCATTATGTTTTCTGGGCAACTGCACATAGATATGGTATGGGACATTCCTTATGCATTTGGCCCAGACTGTATCAGTGTGCACATCTGGAGGCCATCTCTTTCATGGCAAATTTCTGGATCTCTTTGAGTGCCTGAGGGACATGATTCTTTTTTTTTTTTTTTTTTTTGAGACAGAGCCTCAAGCTGTCACCCTGGGTAGCGTACCATGGCATCACAGCTCACAGCAACCTCCAACTCCTGGGCTCAAGCGAGTCTCCTGCCTCCGCCTCCCAAGTAGCTGGGACTATAGGCGCCCGCCACAATGCCCAGCTATTTTTTGGTTGCAGCCATCATTGTTGTTTGGTGGGCCCAGGCTGGATTCGAACCCACCAGCTCAGGTGTATGTGGCTGGCGCCTTAGCCTATTGAGCCACAGGCACCGAGCCGGGACATGATTCTTGAAGCCCACTCCATGGATGCATTTATAAATGTTGATGGTGTATTCTCTAGTCACCACCCGTGTTGATGGCTGACCAGTCCTTCTTCTTCTTACCACCCTTCTTTTTGGGAAGCCATTCTGCCGGGCCCAAGTTCAAAAGAAAGAGCACCAGGGATTGTGGGAGGAAGAAAGGGACTCCTAATATTTCTTGAAAGAGACTTACCTCTCACCAAAAATAAGAGAGTCCCACCCTAAGTTCTCAAACTTGAGTTAGGAGTCAGTCCATTCCCAGCCTAACGATCTCCTTTCCTCCCTGTGGTTAATTTGTTTCTCCCTGGATTTTATTATTCTTGATAACAAATTGTTATCTTTATCTCTTTTCTTCCCTTGTTCTCCACCCAGAGAGTTTTCAATGTCCTTTACCCTATGCCTGCTGATCAGCGGAGACATGTCAGCATCAATTCTGCCCGCTGGCTGCCTGAGCCAGGACTCGGCCTCGCCTATGGTACCAACAAAGGAGACCTGGTGATCTGCCGACCAGAGTAAGTGGCCCAGGGTGTGGGAGGTAAGGGGTCATCTGGGCAGAGGACTGGCTAGAGTAATTAGCATTCACCCATGGACCTGGCTAGTCAGATGGAATCTTTCAGATGTGAAATTTAAGTCCTGCTAGAGCCTGCCTCATTCCCAGTGCCACTTCTTAATGGGCCCTGTTCCTGTAGCTCCCCGTTTTAGACACATCAGAAGACCAGGTTTTGTGGTTGTGTCTTCTTGAATTACAGGCAATATTTTTTTTTCTTTGTTTTCCCTTCTCTGGTATCCTAGTGATAGTAAAGTTTCCCTGCAGGTAAAAGCTTAGATATCAAAGATGCTTTTTAAAAATGCTTTTTGAGGGCGGTGCCTGTGGCTCAAATGAGTAGGGTACTGGCCCCGTATGTTGGAGGTGGCGAGTTCAAACCCAGCTCCGACCAAAAACTGCAAAAAATAAATAAATAAAATGCTTTTTTGAAAAATACAACAGGGTGGTCTTGAGTTTGTATAAATGCTGTAGACATTAACTCAACAAATAAAATTGGAAATAGAGTATTGTTAAAACCCTAATTTGTCAGGCGGTAACCTGTGGCTCAGTGAGTAGAGCGCCAGCCCCATATACTGAGAGTGGCAGGTTCAGTGGCAGGTTCGAACCCTGGCCAAACTGTAACAAAAAATAGCCGGGCGTTGTCGTGAGTGCCTATAGTCCAAGCTACTTGGGGGGCTGAGGTAAGAGAATTGCCGAAGCCTAAGAGCTAGAGGTTGCTGTGAGCTGTGATGCCATGGAACTCTACTGAGGGCAACAAAGTGAGGCTGTATCTCTTAAAAAAAAAAAAGCAAAAAACCCTAATTTGTCAAGCTACTGATCCTAGCAGCCTGTCTTTGTGTCCTGCCTACTTTCCTTTCTACTTGAAGCTCTGGCTTCATGATCATGAAAGCAGATTAAAAAGCAATTTAAAATAAAAATGATTATTATCTGATCTAAAAGTTAGGAATAGGAGGGCACAAGGAACCAATACATTTCTCCTGTCTTATATCCTAATGACACCTACTTCCACTGGCTTTTTGGAGGACAGAGGTCTGTCCAAGATCCATTCATGCAGGATCCTGGGAGTCAGCCAGATTTGTCATCAGTTTGCAGACCCAGCCAGGTGGGGAGGGTGAAGCTCTGTGCTTCACTGCAGATCAGGCTGATTGCTGCGTGGGACGCTGCAGGGTTCCAGCCGACTAAATGCCACTTCTCCCTCCAGGCTGTCCTAATGCTGTACTCAACTTGATGCAGAGTCTTCTACAAGAGTGTTCACAAAGTGTGGTGTGACAGGTCTGATGGTGTGTTTCGGGCCTTAGGTGTTTTCTGCTAGAGTGTGTGTTGGGTCAGTTCACTGAGCCCTTGTCAGCAGAGGTCAGTGGCCCAGGAAGAAGAAGACCTGGTGCTGAGGTAGCTTTCACATTCCATCTTGAATTTTTAGAGCCTCTCCCAAAGAGAGGCTACTGTCTAAGCCTGACCTAGAAGGGCCACTCTTAGAGCTAGGAGATTGCTTTGGTTGCCAGCTACTTGCTCCAGAGAGCAGAGCATTCTTCCACCATCTCTCTGTGCTTTTCCAGCCTGCATCTTTCACTTTCACTCTTCCACTGTTAGCACAGGCACTGGGCCTGCTGGGTTTTGCCTTTCCCCCAGCATGTCTGTAGTCCCAAGACATTCGTAAGAGGAATCTAACAGGCATTGTTCCCAAAACTGACACAGAATTCTAGACCTACTTTTATTCTCACCACCATTGTAGTTTCTTTTTTTTTTTTTTTTTGAGACAGAGCCTCAAGCTGTCCCCCTGGGTAGAGTGCCGTGGCATCACAGCTCACAGCAACCTCCAACTCCTGGGCTCAAGCGAGTCTCCTGCCTCAGCCTCCCAAGCAGCTGGGACCACAGGCGCCCGCCACAACGCCCAGCTACTTTTTGGTTGCAGCCGTCATTGATGTTTGGCGGGTCCGGGCTGGGGATTCAAACCCGCCACCTTAGGTGTACGTGGCTGGCGCCCTAGCCAGTTGAGCCACAGGCGCCAAGCCACCATTGTAGTTTCTTTCCCTATTTCTCTGAGACTTTCGTTTTTAGCAGTGTTGTTTCGTCTTTGGCTCGCACACTGATCTTTGACCCAACCAAATTCCCAGGCCCCTCCCTTGCAAAGTGATCTGCTCTTACAGAGGCAGAATCTCTACACCCTGTCTATTGTCGCCCCACAAAAGGGTTTATGTCTGAAACCCCAGCCTACATACATGATGTGAGTCACTGTCACCTCAGCCAAGCATAAAGCTGGCTTTGGCCTCTGTTTTCTCTTTTCCCCATATGGCATCCTCAGCATCCCAGAGTCTCGGTAGGCCTAAGCCATCTTGGGATGCCTGGGCATCTCTCTTACATTCCGAAACTCAAGCCTCTTTCCTAAGATGGCACTAGCATTAGGCATGTCAGTGTCCCATTACACACCTAATTGATCCCACTGAGAGCAAACCAATGTAGCCTATCTTTTTTTGGTGTTGCTTTTGGGAAAGGCTTGGCAAATGCCTCAAGCCTGAGGGCTGGAAATTTAAGGGTACCATATAAATTCCTAAAACTTCTCTAATTCTCAGTCACTTTCCTATTTGTACAGCTTAGGCAAGGAAGACTCTGAATAATATACAGGTACAGAATTTAAGACTCACCCAAGATCTCCCAGCATGCCAATGGCAAGTAGACTTCCTGACTTTCCAATCTAGAGCTTTCTTATGACTGGTTCTGGTTCAACAGAATCTTACTATATCACCTTCAGTAGAGTGCTGTGGTGCCACAGCTCACAGCAACCTCAAACTCTTGGGCTTAAGCTATTCTCTTGCCTCAGCCTCCCAAGTAGCAGGGACTACAGGCACCTACCACAGTGCCCAGCTATTTTTTCTTGGTTGCAGCTATCATTGTTGTTTTAGCAGGCCTGGGCTGGGCTCAAACCCACCAGATTTAGTGTATGTGGCCGGCGCCCTACTCACTGAACTACAGGCCCCGAGCCTGATCTAGTTCTTAACTTTTTTTTCCATCAAAAACTTTTTTTTTTCATTTCAGTCTTTGTCAATTCCATTTATGTACTTGTCTGCCTTGAAGAATCTAACATTGTAGGAAATGTGGAGAATCTCTTACTCTTTTTTGTTTGTTTGTTTTGCAGTTTTTGGCCAGGGCTGGGTTTGAACCTGCCACTTCTGGCATATGGGGCTGGCACCCTACTCCTTTGAGCCACAGGCGCTGCCCCATCAAAGACTTCTTTAAAGTCTTGGCACCCCGTAGCTCAGTGAGTAGGGCACTGGCCACATACACTGAAGCTGGTGGGTTCAAGCTTGGCCCAGGCCCGCTAAACAACAATGACAACAGCAACAAAAGAATAGCAAGGTGTTGTGACAGGCGCCTGTAGTCCCAGCTACTTGGGAGGCTGAGGCAAGAGAATAGCTTAAGTCCAAGAGTTTGAGGTTGCTGTGAACTATGATGTAATAGCACTCTATCAAGGGGGACATAGTAAGACTCTGTCTCCAAAAAAAAAAAAAAACTCCTTAAAGTTCTGTTGAAAACAGTGTACTCACTTCCACAGAAAATTATACCATAAGAATGCACACATAATTTTGTAATTCTTATACCATGTTTACAACAAAATAAAAACAAATACAAAAAAAATTGTTAATTCTTTAAGACCTCAGGTAAAGAGTATAGGTCTAGATTATGTGTATGCATTTAAGAGGGTCAGGTATTTGAGTGCAAAATATAAGAGAAGTGATGTAAATGGTGGCGCCCAGGGGAGGCGGCAGAGGTGGTGTTCAGGCCAGATTTATTGAAAGGGGAGGTTGACCTGCCTGAGCAGTGCAGAGATGGCCTTTGCACCCAGGGGCAGTTAGAGACCACTTTTATATGGGGCTGTGGGTGGGGGGTAGGTGGGCACATTCCTCAGGCTACCCCTCAGGTTAGTGTCTTTCTGGGGAACTTTTGGGGGTTGGTGCTAGCTGGATTCTTTGTGTCTTTGTCTTAGGAGGAGGGGGAGGGGGAAAAGGGTTTGAGGGGGCTATGTTAGCCCCCTCCCCCCCAACAAGAAGTGAGCTTGTTTATCTGTTATTGGTCTCTGACTAGAGTAGGGAGAACCAACAGGGAAGCAGGAGCTCAGGAGCTTTGTGTTCTTCATGGGCTACTGCCAATCCCTCCACATATCCATTGCCAAGGGCACAGGATCCAGCCAGCCAACTGGGCCAATATTGTAGCTCTCCCTCCACAAGAGGTGGTTATCTGCCTTTGTCTCAAGCACAGGCAGCTGTATGTCATCTTGTGTTCTCTGTACTGCTCTTAAGTTCTCCATTGTCTTAGCCTTGGTGCTCTCCTTTGTCTGTCTGCCTGTTGTCAAGTGGGGTTTTAGTATCACCAAGACATGCCCAAGGAAACAAGCTCCTTGGGCATCTCTTGGTGATACTAAAACCTTACTTGACAATAGACCAAAGGCCTTAGAAAATACTTAATCTCTCCAGGGCAAGAAATTCTTAGGACAGGTGGGAAGACAAACAGCCAGCCCTCCAGCCCCTGTGCAAAGAAAGCCACAGGGGACTGATAGCCCAGTCACCCTGCCCTTCCTTGCAGTGAGGTACTCCTTTCTCCTGTGCTCTGCTCCCACACACACACTCGTCCCAGGCTTCTGCTGTGCCTCAGCCAGCACCCCCCAACCATAGTGGGCGTGTAGCTCCAGACTGATGTGAGGGGTGCTTCCTCACTTCTGGCTTCACAGATCAACCCTACGTGTGTGTTGGGGAGTGGGAGTGCTGGGAAGGCCACTGCTTCTCAGAGTCAGCTCAGAAGACAGAATTGAGAGACTCGGGCAGTGAAGAGTAGGCTGAGCCTGTGGAGTTCTGACAGCTGTCTCCTCAGAGGGAGCCACCACTGAATATGGTAGTTAGAATCAAGCATTACTGCCCAAGGAGGGAAAAGACATGCCCCTGAATCAATAGGGGAGCCAGAATTACCACAGAGACTAACATCTTTCAGGTGAGGCTGTAAGAGCCAGGTGTCAGCTCTTTCCTGTGTTGCAGAAATAGCCCTTTCCAGGGAGACAGCCATGTGACCTTGTCGTCTGCAGCCATGCAACTGATAGATGGAAGAAGAATGTTCTCAAAGGGAATATTCCCTAGATGTTGGGAAGTTTGAAACTAGAATTCAGTGGAAAGAGCTTTGTGTTCACTGAGGGCACCAGGCTGGCTCTTAGGTATGTTCAGGGAGCCCAGGAAGGCCCCCAAAGTGAGGAAGTTGTTGAACCAAGCCCAGAAGCATAGCTTCCAGCTGTTGAAGGAAGCCAGGTGTTAAGTGCAAGTCCATTTGAAAAGGTCCACCCTGATTGGCCCTCCCACTCCTCTTCCCTTTGCATGTTTGTATAGCTCCCCAGGAGAAACTAGAGCAAACAGTGACTCATTTATTCTCACTGAGACCCAAGAAGGAAGGGAGTGGTTGGGATCATTCTTTAGGTTGTCTGCCGGAATCAGTGGCACTAGGGATCGAAGACTAAGAGCTGCAGTAGTCAGAGAGTGTGTCTTCTACTCTATTCCTTGGTGCAGTGCTCAGAATTTAAACCAAACCCATGAGCTTATTGTAGTTAAGTTCTCTGACCACAGAAAGCAGAACAAATCAGAGCTTAGAACTAGACCCGATTGTGGAGAGCAGAAAGGATTAGGATAGAGCAGGAGAGTAAAATAGCATATTGAGACAATAGCTGTAGCCCCTGTTCTGTTTGAAATAGCCAGGCTGCCCGCTCTGAGCTAAGACTGTATGCTGCCCTGATGGAAAGTGTTCCGAGGGCTCTTTTGGCCACCAGCATCATACTGACAGTCCCAACACAGACAAGAGGCCTTCTGGTGGTCTCATTTCTGAGATAGGAAGGAGAGTTCCAGGTCAGGCAGTACATGGTTTGTTGTAGGGTTGGTATGAACAATTTGTTGTCACTAACCAGCCCTGGCTAGCAAGAATTACAGAAGAAAGATTTGGCAGGGACCTACATGGTATTGCAGCCTGTCAATAAATTTTGACAAGTTTGTAATCAGAGGCTTCCTGGCAGCTGGCTTCACTAGTGCCTAATGCAGCCAGGATTTGTTCACCAAAAAAGTACAGTGATGACTTAGTTTTTGGAGGCCTCTGCTGTTAATTTCTGGCCATTTGCTTCTGCCCTAATGTAAAGCAGCTTTCTCTCACCTTTGCCAACTTAATTACCTGTGCTGTTCTCAGACAATTCCCAAGCCCCCCCAAATAGCTGGTAGTTAGAAGAAGATACAACCATCCCGTAGTACACAACTCTGTATCCATGGATTCAGCCAACCACAAATTGAAAGTATGGGGGCGGGGGAGGAGTTTGTGTGATAAAAGCAGCAGTAAAGGCTCGGCGCCTGTAGCTCAACCAGCTAAGGCGCCAGCCCCGTGCCCCTAAGGTGGCGGGTTCGAATCCCCAGCCCGGACCCGCCAAACAACAATGACGGCTGCAACCAAAAAATAGCCAGGCGTTGTGGCGGGCGCCTGTGGTCCCAGCTACTTGGGAGGCGGAGGCAGGAGACTCGCTTGAGCCCAGGAGTTGGAGGTTGCTGTGAGCTATGCCACGGCACTCTACCCAGGGGGACAGCTTGAGGCTCTGTCTCAAAAAAAAAAAAAAAAAAAAGCAGCAGTAAAATAACAAAACAGGCCTGGTTTGGTGGTCACAACTATAGTACTAGCATTTTGAGAGGCTAAAACAGGAGCATCACTTCAGGCCAGGAATTTGAGATCAGCCTGAACAACATAGCAAGACCCTGTCTCTACAAAAAAATAGGAAAAATATTAGCTGGATATGGTAGTGCATGCCTGTAGTCCTGGCTACATGGGAGGCTGAGGCAGGAGGATCACTTGAGCCCAGGAGTTTGAGATTATAGTGAGCTATGATAACACCATTGCACTCTAGCCGGGACAACAGAATTAAGACCCTTTCTCAAAAAATAATACAACATAAAATAATACAAATTTTGAAATATAGTTGAAAAATACAAATAGAAATGTGGTATATGAGGCCGGACACCATAGCTCATGCCTTTAATCCTAAGCACTCTGGGAGGCTGAGGTGAGTTGATTGCCTGAGCTCATGAATTTGAGACAGGCCTGAGCAAGAGCGACACCCTATTTCTAAAAATAGTCGAGCACTGTAGTTCCAGCTACTTGGGAGGCTGAAGCAAGAGGATCGCTTGAGCCCAACAGTTTAAGGTTGCTGTGAGCTATGACACTATGGCACTCTACCAAAGGTGGCAAAATGTGACTCTGTCTCAAAATGTGTGTGTGTGTGTGTGTGTGTGTGAGAGTGATATAAGGCATTTATGTTGCACTGGGTCTTTTTTTTTTTTTTTTTTTGAGACAGAGTCTCATTATGTCACCCTCATAGAGTATCCTGGCATTACAGCTCATCACAACCTCATACTCTTGGGCTTAAGCAATTCTCTTGCCTCAGCCTCCCAAGTAGCTGGGACTAAAGGCACCCACCACAACACCCAGGTATTTTTGTGGTAGTTGTCATTGTTGTTTAGCTGGCCCAGGCCAGGTTCAAACCCGCCACCATCAGCATATGTGGCTGGCACAATAACCTCTGTGCTACAGGTGCCGAGCCTGTACTAGGTCTTATAAGTAATCTAGAGATGATTGTGAGTATACGGGAGGATGTGCATAGGTTATATGCCAATAGAGTGCCATTTTATATAAGGGTCTTGAGCATCAGTGGGAGTTTTGGAACTAAACCACTGTGATGCCTAGGGATAGTCAAACTACTTTTTAAAGGGATGGTCTGAAGATCACCCCAAACCTACAGGCCAACAGACCTCTCAAAGGAGCCAGGAGGGGCATAGTACTGAGTGGTGAAAGGAAGAGCATTTTGTTTGGCTGTGGTTATATTCTCCCAGGTGAAGCCTAATACCCAGAATGTTTGTGACCCTCTAAAGATAGATTGGGACTCAGCCCAGGCCCAGGACAGAGTAAGGATGGGCTGCCAAACCACAGTCCACAAAGCCCAAGACTTTTAAAGAGCTCTTATCATTCCCTCTCTAATGTCTTTCACCTTCTCTTCTCCATCCTTCCCAACTGATTTTTAGGGCCTTAAACTCTGGTGTTGAATACTACTGGGACCAGCTGAACGAGACTGTCTTCACTGTCCATTCCAACAGCAGGAGCAGCGAGCGGCCTGGGTATGTGGGAAGTGGGGAGGAGCAGCTGGCTGGGGCCTGTCCCTTCTTTCTGCTATTGTTTTTGTGTGTATGTGTTTGAGACAGAGTCGCACTTTGTCACCCTTGGTAGAGTGTTGTGGCATCATAGCTCACAGCAACCTCAAACTCCTGGGCTTAAGTGATTCTCTTGCCTCAGCCTCCCAAGTTGCTGGGACTACAGCCCCCACCACAACACCTGGCTTTTTTTTTGTTATAGTTGTCATCATTGTTGTTTGGCCGGCCTGGGCTGGGTTCATATCCACCAGCCATGGTGTATGTGGCCGGCACCTTAACCACTAAGCTACAGATGCCAAGCCTGTTTATTAATTTTTTTTGAGATGGGGTCTCACTGTGTCACACAGGCTGGAGTGCAGTGGCTATTCACTGGCATAATCATAGCTCACTGTAACCTCAAACTCTTGAGCTCAAGCAATCCTTCCTATCCTTCCTGACTATAGGTCACCCAGTCATGCCCCCTCCTGCTTTTGATGGGCTCTCAGGCAGCATCTTCAGACTACGCTCCAGGACTCTGGGCCCCACCCCAACCAGTGCAGCTTCTCATTGATCTGTTTCGTGTATTGAGCTTTTGCAGATAGTTTCACTTGAGAAAAGTATTCCATGGCTAAGAGTGAGAACAAAACCTCCACTCTCAGAGTCTTGCTTTAGAATCCCCTCTGAGTTCCTCCCACCCTGGCCATGGTGTCTGGGCACCTTGGGGTGAAGTAAGAAAACAGGGCACTGGAGAAAGATGCTGCCCCACAAAGTCTGCTCCATGGCCCAAGGAGAATATGCAGAGGGATCTCTTAGATGGCCCAGCCCCCAAGTCCAAGCTGCCCAGGACTACAGCCCAGGAATAAAGCTTCTCCAGGGGCAATTAAAGAGTAGAAATCTGGTATTGGTCCTATATCACTGAATTCACTAATGAAGACTGAAGTTTTGAAAAAACAAAGAGTGCTAGGTCAATGATAAACCCAAGGCACTTGCCACTTCCTGTAGGAATTGCTGGGCATAGCAGGAGGAATAATCCCAGAGTAGCTAGAAATAGGAGTGTTTGGTGATATTGCAGAAGTCCTGGGCTGCCTCTGCTGCAAGTCCCTGCCATCCTAAGGGTTAAGCCTGGGAAATGTCCAGGGAGAAGGAAGTATTGGCCTAGGGCCTGGGCCTTGTTGGGGCAGTTTGTGCTCCCTCCCTGCAGAAGTCTGTTTCTTTTCTCTCCTCTCCCCTCCCCTCTCCTTTTTTTTCTCCCTTTCTCTTTCCCTTTTCTCCTTCCTTCCTTCCTTCTTTTTTTTTTTTTTTTTTGATACAGAGTCTCAGTATGTTGCTCTGGTAAAGTGCCATGGCATCATAGCTCACAGCAACTTCAAACTCTTGGGCTCAAGCAATTCTCTTGCCTCAGCCTCCCAAGAAGAGTCTGTTTCCAGAAGGCCTGGGAAGGAGGATTTCAGAACAGCCTTATAAGTGTTCCAGTTCTTTCCCTTCAAAGGAATCTTAGTCCACTTAGAAATTCCAAGATTTAAACTAGAATCTTGAAAGCATACAAGATTGGATAATGAAGTTCAAAAACTCATCCTGGCAAAAGTGCTACATACCTCATTGATGAATATCATTATAGTCACTTTGAAGTAGTCCTTTTGGGAAACTATGTAGTGATACCAGCACATAGCCCACCCTTCAAAGCTGTTTTGGAACTCTTTTTCTGGAATGGCTGTCAGAGCTTTCATTGTAGCCAGTTAAGTTCACAAACTCATCCTAGAAAAACTGTTACTTACCTCATTGCTAAATATCATACTCCCCTTGGGGAGCTATGCACCGACATCAGTGCCTAGTCCCCCATTCAAAGTGCTTTTTCTAGGATGAGTTTATAAACGTAATTGTCCAACCTTGTACAGTTAGAAGGAAGGTAAGGACCTCCTTCCACTACTTACCCTTTGTCTGGTGGATTAGCTAGTGGAATCTTGAATCTAAATAAGAGTCTTTGAGATCAACCATTTCTACCTTTACCTCTGCAAAAGGTCTACTTTGTAAGGAAATGAGTGAAAATAGCTGGGTTTGCCAGGCACAGTGGCTCATGCCTATAATCCCAGCACTTTGGGAAGCTGAGGCGGGTGGATTGCCTGAGCTCAGGAGATTTGAGACCAGCCTGAGCCAGAGCGAGACCCCATCTCTAAAAAATAGCCGGTATTGTGGTGCACACCTGTAGTCCCAGCTACTTGGGAGGCTGAGTCAAGCAGATCACTTGAGCCCAAGTATTTGAGGTTGCTATGAGCTATGTCACCACGGCACTCTACCCAGAGCCACAAAGTGAGACTGTCTCAAAAAAAAGAAAAGAAAATAGCTGGGTTTGCCAGATTGGATGGTTCTGTGGCCTCCTTCCTTTGTCCCAGGGAATAGGCTGACCTTGGAGGAGAATGGACACAGATGAGTTAACCACCATCAGGAAGCAGCTTCAGGAGCACAGGATTGACATGGAGCCCATGGAGCTCTGTGAGGGGAGCTGTCCCAAGTCTTGCCTGACTACAGCCTGCTTTTCTCTCCCTAGAACCAGCAGAGCCACATGGAGGACAGACAGAGACATGGGTCTGATGAATGCAATTGGGCTACAGCCCCGGAACCCCACCACCTCAGTGACATCTCAGGGCACCCAGACTCTGACCCTTCAGCTGCAAAATGCCGAAACACAGACTGAGAGGGAGGTACAGGAGCCAGGGACAGCAGCCTCAGGTCCTGGTGAAGGTAAGAGCTGTGCAGTGCCAGAGGGAGCTCTGGACAGTGGTGCTCCATGAGAGCCATTCCTTAGTTAGGGTGAGCACCCTCTTCTGTGTCTGGGCAATGCCCACCTGCTGATGACATTAAGAGCCTTCTCAGGCAGAATCATCATTTCCCTGAGCTGGGTCAATGTTTCCAATAAGCTGACCAGCTCTTATAACCTTACTAAGTTCCCACCAAATACACTGACTTCTTTCTCTTCTAAACTGGGAGGACCCAGGCTGTTTTTATAAAGAGAGAGCGCAGAAAGTAGACTGGTTTGAAAGGGCTACAACAGAAACTTGCTGCTGTAAGCTCTTATTCCAGAGAAGTACACCCCAGGTTTTAGGCTTCCATGGCCAGCCCACAGGTTGTCTTCCGTCTGCCAAGATGACATTTGGGACTGCTACAAGTGAGGTCCTCTCATTTTTCTTTCACACCTGGGTTTGTTACCATTTTGGCTGCAGCCTGGCACACCATCAACCCCTTCCTCTCACCTATTTCAGGTGTGGCTCAGTTGCCCTCAACCCTGGCCCTTCATGCTGGCCTCACACTTGTAAGAACCAATTAGCACTTCCCAGCAGTAGATAGAGCCCCTTAGGAGTCTGCCAGCAGCTGTGTTAAACAAGCTGTTGTCACTCCATATTCTCCTCACCCCTACCTCTAGCTCCCTTGCTGGGCCCAGCCCTGAACAAGGCAACTCTAAACAGACACACATTTTCTAGGTGTGTGTTAAGTCATTGCTCAAAACAGACCACGGGGGGGAGAAGCCATGGTGCATATCAGGCACAAAACCACATGGTTGCCCATGTTACCCCCCCAGAATGGCTCTCCACACTGCAGTCCCCCATAGGGAACTGAAATTTTTCAAAGTTAAGTCCCTTTTCATTCCATAGCCCAGTACACTTCCTACATCTGAGGCCCGTGGTTCTCTGTTGGGTAGAAGCCTCCTTAGTGGAAACATGAGCACTGCCAGCTGCAACTTTGAGGCCTCGATGACAAAGAGGTAACTGAAGGCTCTTTCCACCATCACTAGGCCTGGTTTTATGAGTTTCTGTGGACTCTGATCCTTCCCTCGAGTCTGCTAGGCCTGTTCCAGGAAGCCTGAGAGCCAAGTAACAGGGAAGTACCACTGGCTTCTCCAGTGGAACCAGCACTCCACCCCTTTGTCCCCATAGATGGACAGTCTCTGGGAGCCCCTAGTTGACCCAGATAGTATGAAGCCTGCCCATGAGGGATTTGGAGAGGCATTCTGTAGTCGTAGGTGCCCCCCTTTGTTTTGATTTCATGGCCGTGTACTAAGCCAATTGTCAGCCACTTGGGCTGTGAAGACAAATAAGCCTCCGATGTTCCCCAAGGAACTCACAGTCTAGAGAGGAAGACAGACACCTAAACTGATAATTACTTTAGTGTGATGAGGACCTCAGGGGCACAAAGGAGGGAGGCTCAGGGAAGACTTGTGGAGGATGTGCCCCTGAGCTGAGTCTTTAAGGATGAGGAGGAGTTAGGCAAATGGGTGGCAGGGAGGCCTTGCTAAAGAGGAGACGGCACATGCAAGGGCACCAAGCTCAGAAACACTGAGCTATGCAAAAAAGAACCACTCGCAGGTGTGTGTTAGTGGCATATCCAGTACATTTTGAGAACTGAGGCTGGGAGTGGGAAGGGCAGATTACTGGGGCTGGGCTGGGATTGAGGCCTTTAGCCTGAAGGTGAAGTGCAGGAGTTCTAGGAGCAGGAGCTGCCAACTTGAGAAGGCATATGTCCTCTGGTGTTTCAACTCCCAAGGAATTCTCTGCTGCCTTCTTGGTTATCATCTGGCCCATTTGTGGCCTCCAGTCAATTATAACTTCCTTTCTTTCTGGTTAGGGAGTAGGGGCAGAAGGTAGATGGGGAGAAAGGAACTCTCTTTCCCAGTTTCAAGGGGCCAGGACCTCCCTCCTGTAAAGCAGAACAAGTGGAGAGTGAACCCTTCTGAGCCAAGGCACTAGTCAGAAGCAGTAGGCAGAAAGGGTTGGACAGCTCACTGCTTCTGTCTGTGGCCCTGTGAACTTTGCCAAGTGCTCTGGCCCCCAGCCCTTCCGTGCATCTCATCCCTTTCAAAAAGCAGTTGGGGAGAGGGAGGTGTGGGTCAAAGGGTGTGGGGACTTGATAGATGGATGTCACTACCTAGACATGTTGCTCCCAGGACCAAGAGCCTTGTTCTGAGGTGCTAACCCCACTGCTTTGCTGTCAGAGTCCTCACAGAGGAGACGAGGGATCAGGGTTCTCTTTGGATCTAAACTTCCCTATACAGAGGTAGGCACAGCATCTTTTCCTTATATTGACACAACCAGTAGCCAAATCTGCAAGAACATGGTTAGTAAGACCCTGGATAAGGAGTTAACTCCTCTCTAGGTTTGGCTAGATGGGGGACCCCCTGCACACACGCCTGCTACAGCATCCCAGATTTATTAATGTTAGAAGCCACCCTACTTACAGTAATCACTGTTCTATGACCTGCCCCATCTCAGCACCCAAAGGGATCCCAGGCTACTTGTTAATTTCTTGCTTTATAAAAGTTTGAGAAAATCGGCCAGGCGTGGTGGCTCACGCCTGTTGTCCCAGCGCTGTGGGAGGCCGAGACAGGTGGATCACCTGTGCTCAGAGGTTCAAGACCAGCTGAAGACAGAGCAAGCCAGAATGAGACCCCGTCTCTACAACAACAACAACAACAAGACAGCCAGACTTTGTGATCCCAGCTACATGGGGGGCAAGAGAACACTACAGGAGGAAGAAGTAAAAAAAAAAAAACTTCGGCTTAGCGCCTATGGCTCGGCCTGCTGGGGCGCCAGCCATGTACACCCAAGGTGGTGGGTTCGAATCCCCAGCCCGGACCCGCCAAGCAACAATGACGGCTGCAACCAAAAAAAAAATAGCCGGGCGTTGTGGCGGGCGCCTGTGGTCCCAGCTACTTGGGAGGCAGAGGCAGGAGACTCGCTTGAGCCCAGG